CATTTGATCTACTCGAAATCGGACATAATTATGTGCGCTTCGTCCTTAACTCTTAGATGCTGGCACGGCTGTGGACTAGAGGACGCATTATTGTTGGTTTGTTTTTCTTGTTTTCCTCATTCATCAGAAATACCTGATTACCTGTAGTACATTACTGTATCCTCATACATAAAAGTAAAATGAAATCGCTCTGTTTAATCTTCTCGGATCTTTGCTCAGCGGTCTAATAGTTGGATGACTAACATAATCATGAAGGTCCTTGCAAACTAATGTTCCGGCACGTTTACTTCCATGTAACATAAAACGGATAATAGAATTATAGGGGATTTACAGCTTTTTTACACGTTCAGGTGAAAGTGAACTAGCTGTAGATTTAGAATTTGTATGTAGTAAAGTTGCTTTTAGTGAGCACTTTTCTTTGAAATTAGCAAAAGCAGTAATGGGTCAATTAGTATATCGGTACCCTAGAATTACAACGTTGTATCTGCTCAGTAACTGGTCTTGAGAAATTTGACGCCAAAAATTTTGAGTTTCCCAACATGTTCCTTGAACATATTGATAACGACTCCTTAATTAACCTTACGATTTTGATAAAGCAGATTGAGCATTGATTTTTTACCCTCATGGTCTTAGTAACTCAAAACGGCAACAACAAAAAATGGGATAGAACTTCGCAATTCTGAAGTAGCAAGGTGTCAAACAGTTCCGAATGCTCCATAGACAATCTGAATTTTTTTTTTAAATTGATAAGTAGGTTTCTTCTGGGTTTTTTCTTAAAACCTAAAAGGGATACCCCTGGCTGCTGCTAACTAAGACACTGTGGAATGGATTTTTTTTCCGTCCATTTCCCCCAGAAGGCGAGCAGTGCATCACTAGAAAAGGGTGACCAGACACTATGTTATGTTTAAGGTATACTGAATCCGTCCCGCACTGCTTATACATCAACACGGCCCCCAATATTCATTGTGACAAATTGTGAAGGTTTGCGCTACCAGCTCCCTTTTACACCCAAAACTGCGGCCACGGCACTCCTCTCTCGCCGGCACGAAAAGGATGGAAAGGACAAAAAGAAGAATAAAGTAAGAATGGAAGGCTGGTTTTAAGACTGGCGCAACTGGCGCAAGAAGTTTGTTTATCGTGAGAAAGAGTTGAGCCATATCAGAGTCACTCTCTGTTCCAGGGTGCAGTGGTCTCCATAAAACAAGACATTACGCTACCCTACAAACACAATGTTCTATCAACTCAGCGCCTTGTTTTGAGAAATTTGACGTCACATAATTG